TACATGGTGTGGCGACTCGAACTGCTGCACATTGGTGCAAAGTTCTATGTTGAGACCAGTCAGTCCGGTCTCTTTTGACATATCGGCTATTTCGACGTTTGAGAATTTAACCTGAAGTCATTTCGTGGATGGTGACTAACAGTGGAATCTAGGGTGCGCATTTCGTCCTATTTGGGACTGGCTTCAAGCCTCAGCGGGAACGCTACCACTCATTGGGAAATGAAGGTATATTCAGAGACGAGTCCCAAGTAGGACGAAACGTGCCTTCCGGATTCCACTGCTGATTACCATCCACCAAATTAAATCGGTCTCATTTTAGCTTACAATCTTACTAAAAAAGTGAAAGAATTATACAAACAACCTTTGATAAGAAAACAGGTGGCCTGTTTAAACCACTAAGCTACCTTAATTTTCATTCAGCACAATGCACAAACTCTTTTCTATTCCCTACACATTTCAATCAGCAAATTATGTCTTTGAATAGCTACATGAACTCACGCACAGTTCGCGTTTGTACTGTCAAAGTAATGCAGAGCATTTCCAGTTGAAGAAAATAAGGAGAAAATATCGTAGAGGATTGGATATTGGCTCATATGGAACAACACAATACCGCACGATGTATTGCCAAATGCTATTTTACTTGGAGATCATATACGAAGAGTACATATTTCGCAATTAAATTACGCTAAAAATTCTGTACGACGTATTAACGTACTGTTTAGAATAAAGCTGTTTTTATTATTATTGATTTATTTCAGGAAAAATTCCTTAAAACATTTATATGTAATAAACTGCTTTATACTGCTCATTCGCTCAAATTGTTGTTATATTTTATTATTCCCTTGGGTTCCAAGTAGAACACAGAGCCTCAACAGCACACCTAGATTTCACCCTGTTTTTTGAGGTCCTCTTTAGCTAAATCATAGGCTCTTATCTCCTCTTCACACAAACTTCTCCATATCACCCCCAGACACACACCTAACTAGCCCTTTCACATTTGGCTTCGACTTGAAAAAAGGTCTGGTGCGTGATGTCACTCGACGATCTCCTCAGTGTGTGTCCAATCCACATCCATTTTCTCCTACATATTTGTTGAGCAGTCGGCTGTTGCTTGGTCCGACCGAGTTTCTTGTTCCAAATTCTTTCTAACTGGCCATATGATCTTGACGATGGGCCAAAGAAGGCGGCAGTTAATGAAAGTCTACAGATGCCTGTTGGAAGTGCTATTGTAAAGCGCTAACTCTATTAACCATAAGGGAGAACGAAACTGACAATAGTGTTGAAAATCCCAAAAATGTTCCGTATGCTTCAGTGCGACCGATTCTTAAACTGACTTCAGAGTGATGAATGTCTGCCTAGCCTTTCCCATCCTTGCTCGTTTTGACATCCTCATCAGTGCTGTTGCCTATAGTTGAAACGATGCTTCCTAGATAAGTGAAGCATCCTTTCAATGTACTGCTCAACAGTCCGCTCCGTCCTCCTTTATGGTTGAGACCTGGCCATTGAGAGCAGAAGACATGAAAATATTAGCTGTCTTCGATCATAGGTGTCTGCGTTCTACCTCCCGCGTGAAGTGGTATAATAAGGTGAGCAATATTGAGGTTAGGCATTGGTCGAATGCTAGGTAAGGAGGGGAAATCAGTCGACGAGACTGTGAAATTACATCGACTGAGATGGTTAGGAAATGTGTTACGTATGCCTAGTCATCGCCTTCCTCAACAACGGGCAATGTTAGCTGACATAGGGCCAGGCTGGAAAAGAGCTAGCGGTAGTCAAACGAAAACATGGCACCAGTCAATGAAATCCACAACAGTTAGTTAAAGCCGGCCACGTAGGAAGGTTTAGAGTGGCTTCCTGACTGGTTGGGGTCCTCGGGACGGTAAAAACCAATGGTTGGAAACAATTGGTGATATGGTTCAAAATCGTTCTCAATGGCTGTTGCAGATGCATCCACTCCTTGTGACTTATGATTTCCAATGAAACTGTTTTGTTCTTCGTTATTACTATTCCTTTGTCTCACACCTGTGTTTACTGTCTCTAATATACATTTCCTTTTACTTTCTTCTCTTGGTTTGTGTGCTACATGGAGTGTGGCGACTTGAACTGCCACACATATGTGCAAAGTTCTATGTCGAAAACCGACCGACCGGCAGATAAGTGTAGGAAGTGACCTCTTTCAAATTTCTCTTGTATGCATTGATTGGTTCTTGCTGATGTTGTTGGTTATCTTCATTACATGTGTCTTCTCTATGCTTACTTCAAGTTCTGGCTTTTTCCTGCCTACCTCTTCCCCTGACTTGTCGGTTTTCACCTGTCAGTCTTCCAGTGTATGTAAACACTAGATAAAAGTCGTCCGCGAAGTTCTAATCTTCTTATCGGATCAACCTAATACTGTCTTCTCATTTCCCACAGTCTGATGCATAATCCAGTCCACCATAGTTAGGAATATCATCGCTCATATTGAAAGCACATGAAAAAACTGTCAGACAGTTAAAAGTCATCTGCAGGAAGTTTTGCTTGACCTAGGTGTAGCAACTGTTGGCATTCAACAATCCATCAGCAAGGAGGTGTGTTTCTGCATTTTCTTGAAAGAAAAATTCACCTAGTGCTACAGTCAGAGACATTACCACTGTCCTATTTAGGCTTTTGATTGATAGAATTCAGTCTGCACAAAACGAAAGACTAGCTAGCCAAAAATGACACTCGTTACTACTACCTAACCTTCAAACAAAGCATATACAACTACTAGCCAACTGAACAGTAATGCTAAACAAAAACAAAAAAAAACTCAACGGGAAAAAAGAAAGAGACTCGGGACTTATGCAATCCATTTGATATTGTTGTCATGTATACACAAGGCGCATAAATAAACAAACAAACAAACAAAAGAAACTAGAAAAAATTAATCGTAATTATAATCATTAGTAGTATCATAAGAGATAAAACAATAATGTGAATAGACAATGCGAAAAATAAGATAAGGAGATTTGAGATTTGGTTCACTTTGAGTTCATGGGAACAAGTGATTGTTAGTAGTAGTTCCACTTGTGAAGAAAAATTCTTATAAGGATACAATACATACATAAGTACATACATACACACACGTACAAGCCAGGTAGGTAGGTGTAAACACGTGTACAACTAACTACCTGCATACAAAGATACCTTCTTGAACGCCTTTCTTACTGATGCAATAATAATAAACAGAAGTCAGCAGATAAAAGTGGAATTACACGGGAATTGTGAAAAACGACGAAAAAAAATCTAACTTGAACAAAGAACCAAACATACTACTACTAATAATGATGTTTGATAACAGACACAATTAACGAGGAAAGTGTGTACGTGAGAGGGACGAAGGAAAAGTCAGCTCTGTACATAAATCTGTCTATGTCTGTGACAAGTCATCCCAACAGATGTATTTTGTTTTGCATGACACTTATGGACACATACACAGAGAGAATATGTTACGATGGAATAGGGTTTTTTGACGAAAAGATTTTCTTAAAAACAAACTGATAAAAAAGGTTAAAATTACAGTTGGATCGAAAGGAAGTGAGAAGAAGAAATAGAAAAAAAGATGATTACAGGTTCTCCAAGCGCTCAATGATCTCTGTCATCTCATATCACTTAGAATTGCATTTATAATAAACTAACATCACTGAGACTACTGTTACGTGTGATAGATAGTAATAATAATAGTAATAATAATAATAATAATAATAATATAAGTGTTGTACGTGTAACAATCCTCATAATAAAAATGCTATCAATATAATTCCAATATATATAAGTATACAAGAAAGAAAAAACGCAACAGATAAGGGCAAGAGATGATAGACAGATGCAATCCAAGTAGCACGAATATATACAGCACGCACACAGATTATGTAATAATCCATCGATAGAGAAATGCAACCACCTTGCTTCTTTTTCACATCTTATTATAATAACAACAACGACTATCAGAGAAAAAAGCCTTCCAGTTTCTTCACATAGAATACTATGTAAAACAAACTTTAAATGATAAGCAAGGATCATGTCTAAGAAAGGGAAATTTGTGAACAGAGAAAAAATCGCATGGGAACAACAACACGGAAAAAGCAATACACTACCCGGAAGGATATCATCACTGGAAAAAGTGAGTGAGTGAGTTAGAATGCAAAAAACAACTGCTATTGTGTTGTTTGTTGTTGGTGTCTTTTTGAAAAAATTTAAATAACCGTCTATTGAATATTTGGACAGAGGGAGGGAGAGGGAAAAGTAAACACCTGAGATAGTTAAACAACGTCTTACACACACATTGGACAGCTTGTGAAAAATAAAACACGTGTACAATGAGCATGAAAAAGAAAACGAATCTAAGTTTACATATACAGTTTGATGATCCCTCCCTTTTTAGCATATTCTTTTTATGAGAATGAAGGGCATGAATGAAGCAGAGAGATTTATGAATATAAAATAATATATATTTAATAGGTCATATTTACAAATTAGAAAATTTGCACAATATCCACACACACATACAAACACACAGATAAGAGAATAGAGTAAATGAATAATGACACATCATAAAGGTGTCTATCTCTCTTCTCTATTATTACACACCTGAAATGCATAATTCTTTTTTAAAAAGCCTAGAAAGATTAATTAATTAATTAGTGGTCAAAATTATTTATTTATTGTTTAAATTATTTTCTGGTTAAGAATTGCATAGTAGTTGGTGGTGGTGCTCTTCAAAGGAATCACAGATAACTTCGCTACCATGAATGAGTGAGTGAGTTAGTGAGTGAGTGAATGTGTATGCAGTTACGCAACAACGAAAGAAAAGTGAGGAATACACACACACACACACACAATGCATGTGTTATTATATATTCACAGTGTACACAGCATGTATGTATGACATGATCATAAAACTTAACTTCACTGGTGTTAAAAGATTCGTAGGATTTCTTTTCTTCATTATGTATACACATATATATAAATAATGTGATTTATCATCTAACAGTTGAGTGTTCATTGCCATTTTCTACAAGCCAGACAGCGTGTGATACAGATCGCCAAGGTTGAACAACATCAGAATGATGATCATTGTGCATATCCTCTGGAATATAACGCACTAAATTTTCAGTAGAGAATCCACCAAACTCTGGGAATGGACCTATTTACAGCAAAATTAGAAATATAATAATAATAATAATTAAACGTTATAAGCTGGTGGATTCCACGTTTAGAGAAACACAAATCATTATACCTCGGTTAGTAAATTATGAAGAAGTGATTGCTCACTGACACTCACTTCATCTAAATGATTTTAGTTTCTAAAGATAATTACCACAAAATGAAACAACTTTTTATAAACTCCCTAATTAAATGACCTCATTTGGGGCTTATGATTATATTTATTTATTTAAACGAAGAAAAACTTGGTACAATATGGCACCATGAAAGATGCGCCACACAATATTGTGTGAGGGCTGAGATACTGCCCGGGCGCCCAGACCGAAGCAAGTGGTTTTCTTAAGGGACTACCCCCCGAGCATTTGACTTGAAGTCTAATCCGCAAAGCAGCGGAGCAGCGTCAGGAGCTGCGTTCCCATGGTTGCCAGTGACCCACATGGGTTCATACGCCATTTGATCCGATTGAATTCTGGAGCCCATGCACCCCATGGTAAGTGCTTTTAGTCTAACCGCTATCCTGACATGGTAGGACCTGCAGGGACATGAGTCCCTGATTATAAATAAGTTATGGATGGGAATTTCACAATTGTTGATGAAAAGGCATGACTGAAAGATTTTAACTAGCTTAGTTACAAGGATTTGTGCGTCGGTGGCATAGCGGTTAGGACACTCGCCAACCATGCACATGGTCCGGGGTTCGATCCCCGGCCGACGCACTACTGTACCTCGCTAAGCCAGAAATAATACTGGTGAAGAGGAAAGGTCGGGCATGAGGATAGCAACCCCATCCTGTAAAATAAATAAACACTGCTACAGAAACTTCAAGCCAGTAGCTTGAAGCACTACGTTCCACTGGGGAACGTGAAGGAAAAAAAAGTTACAAGGATAGCAGCTCAATGATGAAGTTTATTCTAAGTTACGGTTTGAGAAGAGTTTAATAAAAGCATCGGCTGTCTCTGAATGGGGTTCTCGGGATACCAAGAACTCATGACTTGAGACTGTGATATGGCTCCAAATCGTTTTTAATGGTGCAGATGAATTCATTCGATGTGATCCTAACTATTACAACTATTCAACTTTCATGTTCTCCCATGTTGCTATTTTTTCTTCCGTACATTTCTGGTTATTATAGTTCTTATGAATCTCTGTTTTCTTGCTTTTCTACCTACCTTTGTGCGCTCTATATGGAGTGTGTGGCCACTTGAACTACTACTGCACTTCCGTGCTAACTCCTACACTGAAAACTTAGTCAGTCAGTGAAAGTATGGGGTTCTCAACGTTACAGAGTTGACCACAAGACTACATGATCTTGCATTGGTTAGACGAGTTGGGCAATACTAAAGAGTTTCAACTGCTCATGATGAAGAATATCTTCATGAAGAAACATCTCCATAATCGACAACAAAAGACATCGCATCCCAGTTTGAAACCCTTAGGGACAATCCAGAACATGATGATTTGAAGACGAATACTTTACTGTTCAGCACCGATGCTATTCAATGTCGTCAATGTGTATCTGTTCTAACAACTGATTAAGTTAACCCTATTGACATGCAGTACCATAGACACAAACACTTAAAGTATGACATTACGTGCAGGTCGACTGGTAGATGTTTACCTCAATCAAAAATACTTAGTGAAGTAAAAGTACACCAAAAGAAATCCGTACAAGTTTGGAGAGCACGAAGTGCACCAAACGTGGGTGGCTAAGGCAGTCCGAACTCAAAACTATTAGATTACCAACCCTTGTAATCATATGGCAGTAGCGTAAGTCCCCATCCACTTAGTGTGATCGTAGCGGACGATGTAAAATTGTTTTAAATGAAAGCAATTATAATTTTATTTTTATTTTTTTATTTTCGATTACAGCTTGATTCCACACCGTATATTTTGGTACAAGTATGGAATTTTCAGCATGGATATCGGTAGCCCAAATTTACAGGCCGACCATAGATATCGGGTGTGCGTCGGCAGGGGATCGAACCCCGGACCATGTGCATGGTCGGCGAGAGTCCTAACCACTGTGCCACCGACGCACACATAAAGCTACAATTTACGTTTTGAATTTTAAAAATTAAACTCATTAAGCATGATAAATTGTGAACAAAGATCAGAAATGAGTTAATAGTGTTTCTTTTTTTAAAATCTAAGTGTACATTCTTTTGATTTCTTCGGTTGACTGGTTGATTGCTTTCAACATAGAACTTCGCACAGATGTGCAGCAATTCAACTTTCCACACCCCATGGTGTAATACACAAAGGAACACAAAAAAACAGAAACGACAAGATTCAAAAAAACTATGATCAGCAGAAATGTGAGGGAGAAAAAAATAGTAACATGCAAAAAGTAGTGTTTAATAGACATAGGAGATCACAAAGAAGGTGAATGAATCTGCGCCAGCCACTGTGAACGATTTTGAACAATAAAAACAACAGTCTGCAATCACTGATTCTTAGAATCCCCAGGACCCCAACCAAGAAGTATACACCTCCATATGTGGCTAGTTCAAGCTAACTGTTTTGGATTTCATTGACTGATGAAGTCATGTTTTGGTTTGATAACCACTGGTTCTTTTCCAACCTGACTGATCCTATGAGTTAATATTGTTTATCAAGGAATGTGATGACTAGAAATGCGTAACACATATCCTAGACATCTCAGTCTATATAGCTGCACAACTTCATCGATTGACTTGCACTCCTCACTTAACACTCTACGATTAACCTCGGTATTACTCAACATATTACATTACCTAACATGGGAGATAGTGCGTCGGTGGCACAGTTGTAGAATGCTCGCCAACCACGCATGTGGTCCGAGGTTCGATCCCTGGCCGACGCACTCCTTTGCCTCGCTAAGTCAGTAATAAGACTGGTAAAAAGGGAAGGTTGGGCATGAGGCTAGAAATCTCATCCCATAAAAATAAACACCACTGCTACCGAAACTTCAAGCCTCTAGCTTGAAGCCCTATGCTCCACTGGGAACGTAAAGAAATTAAAAAACATGGAACATAGAACGCAAACATGTGATCAAAGACAGTCATTACATGTCTTTCCCTTTCAAAGACCACCTCTCACAAACATAAAGGAGGACAGAGCGAACGGGTGGGCAGTTTACACATTCTCTGATCGATAGCTGGATATCACGTCCACGCCAGAGATGGCATAATTTGGCAAAGCCAAACGAGCCCTCTGCATCTGTCCTGAGATTTCGTTAATAATCAGCTCGTTGAGGTTGATGCAACTTCCCAAATAAGTGAAGTGGTCAACACGCCCCACTAACCACTTCACTCCTTATCTTTGTGCTAAGAGTTGTTGTAGTTCACTCCTTTAATTAATCACAAATAAAACTGTATAATCATTATAATGAATATCATATACCCAATGCCCAAATTTTTTCAAACTGTTAAAACTGTATAACATAAAATACACGAATTTTAATAACCACTAACCTAACTCTACGCTGCTAATAAATAATTATCGTATATAGAAATAACCTTGAATAGTCGCATTTCTAATAAGAAGGTGCACGCAAATATACACAGGAACAATAATTTTGATTGTACAAAAAGGTGTAAACGTTTCATTTTGATTGGAATAGAAGACAAAAAAGGCGAAACACACACACACATACATGATCAGAGATATACCAAAATGCGCGAAGAATATTTAATGAAACCAACTCACCGGCACATATCAATAATAATAAGAGATAATAAGTGGTTACCTGTATACTTTAACAGCTGAAAGTTGACAACATATGCATCCACACAGAAGAAACATCACACACGCACACACATACATAATACCTAGAGTAAATGCTTAGGTTGCAGAATAGTAGATTTGTATGTTATCATAAAGTGCTGCATTCTTTCAGTATTAACAATGGGTGAACGTGTGCGCTATTATAGTACATTTGTCTCGCACATCTATTCTGTGCCTTGATAAACATGTACAGTTAAAATGATCATTTAATTAAGTGGTCATAGTATTCGTAGTAGTAGTTGTTGTTGTTGTTGTATTAATAACAATGACAGTTGTAACCTTATCACATGAATAGTACGAAAGAAAGAATTGGGTAGATGTGTATGCACTGACCAAAATACGTACACACACATACACACATAACAATGCTTAAACTAAACACAAAAATACCTCTGAAAGGCTTAAATAACACACTATAATATAAATATTACGTACAATAGACAAAAAAGGCTTAAGAATACCTACATATATATAAGTAAAACGACTGTTACGTAATGATTACATAGTATAACAAAGACCGATTGATAGCTGCTACCTTTATATGGTGATCAGCCTTATAAATTGTAATGACCCAACGAGCTACACTGGTTGCAACTAATGCTACTGAAGGTTCTTCTATGCTAGAAAACTTATCAGGATAGCAATTATACTAAAAACAGTTACTATAATAATGTAAGTTGTTTGTGGGAGAAGTTGTACTGTTGATGAATAAGGATGTGACAGCAGTAAGGTGTTTTCCTTAGACAACCAGTAGGCTAGTTATGCTACTTCTCCACTGCTCTGGGGAGAGGGAGAGGTAGGAAAAGTCAATCCCGAAAATTGTACACCCTGACCCATCTTGAGGTGACCTGTAGCCGGCTTAGATCTGAATACGGGTTAAACGCGAAAAAAAAACTCCAACGGACCGGTCTTGGGGAGTTTTATCCCTTGGGCTGAGGTTCTATTTTAGATACCCCACGAAGAAATCAACTTCTATGGTGTGGGTAGCTGGGAAGAAATAATCGCTCACATTTGTAGCCACACTACGCTTTCCTGCTCATCACCCTTCATCTATATATTGCAATTAATCAAATACCCACATAATTTCTACGATCAGTCACAAACACTACTAAGGCGTTTTACTATGCGTTATTCGTAAACATAACAGTAAATGCTCATCATTTTTATAAAGTTTTTTTCCTTCACGTTCCCCAGTAGAACATAGGGCTTCAAGCTAATGGCTTGAAGTTTCTGTATCAGTGTTTATTTTACAGGATGGGGTTGCTAACCCCATGCCCAACCCTACCTTTTCACCAGCATTTTTTCTGGCTCAGTGAAGTGGAGTGCGTCGGCCGGGGATCGAACCCCGGACCATGTGCATGGTCGGCGAGCGTTTTGACCGCTATACCACCGACACACTTTTATAAAGTATATGCTCTCAAATCATAATATTGATTTCAATATGAATGACATTCACACATAATAAAATGAAACTCAACTCACCACTTTCAACAGAAGTATGTGGGGATGGTGTAAAAGGACACAGATCGGAGGATTGTTGTTCATTTTGATGGTGCGATTGTTGTTCTTCAAAATGTAATTGTTGTCTTTCATGTTGATGAGGATTATTCACAAGTGGGATAGATGATGATTTATCACGACCAAAAGTAGAGGCTCGTTTATCACGTGCACGCTGGTTTTGAAACCATACCTGCACAACCCGCATAGGTACACCTAGCTCTGAAGCCAATGCTTCACGCATCTAGTTAAACAATACAGCAAAGAGAGAAGAACTGAATCACCGAAAGGATAAGAATTCTAAACAATTAAGCCATATGAAAAAGGGAACAGAATCACGAAATATTCTAGTGAATGAGGCCGATAGCACGATATCGTCTACTATCAATAACAGGTCCTTGTATTCTAAGTAATCTCATAATACTTCAATATTTGGATAGTAAAATACAGAAAAGTTATACTTTGAAGTACATGTTATGGCAGACAATGATGCTTATATTATTGTCCGAGATTTCGAGCGGGACTTGAGACTTCAACAGCACACCTCATTTCATTCTGTTCCTTGAAGTAGGCTATAGCTGGCTCCACGATTTCCCATACGCTTTCATCTTCCTATATGTGTAAAACTTGGTCACTGTGGTATTAAGCAATTCCAAATTAGTTTGTTTATTAGATATATCACACAGTGAGAGAAACAGTATTATTTACTGGATGACGTTTCCAACAAAATTTATTGTTCACAATCATATCAATTATAAGCACACGACTTCCAAACTCGGGTTCTATAGTTTTCTTTGTTCTCTCCTATTTGTCGTCGTTGGAGTAGTAGAATTTTCCAGATATCTGGGACAGGAGTTGGATCATTCCTATTACACGTGTTCGCAGTTGATTCGATAAACAAAGCTTCTATTACCAATCTCTCCCTCCACCCTGTCATATCAGATTTTAAAACTGTCATCTTATCCCATCATCCTATTGTATGGTTGTGTGTAATTGCATGTGGTGAGTGCTATAGCTGAACTATTCTCTAGATTCTTATCTTATTCGGGTCGACTAATCTAGATTTCGCTAGGTTTCTATGCTCGGCTAGTCTGACTTCCGCTGTTCTACTAGTTTGACCTATGTATTTGACCTGACATTCATTCCAGCAGGGTATCAGATAAACTAAATTGTTTTGTTTTATTGGCTCCACTGGCGGGATCCTTTAACCGACAAAGCTTCTTTCTAATTGAGTTTGTGGGCGGTTTGAATGCCATCCACTTTTATTGCCGCCTTGTTAAGAATTCTGCGTAAGATTTCCGAGGTTCCTTCTTTGTATGGAATTACTTTGATTCCTTATCGTTGGTGTTGTCATTATCTTGCGCATGTTTGACATGCATGTTGTCACTAATATTATTATTATTACTATCACTATCACTACTATTATTTATCTTATTTTTACATTTCCCCACATACTTAATAATAATATTAATGACAACATGCATCCATATTTTATGAATCACATTATTCCAAATGCCTCTGACTGACATTTCATTGTGTAAATGTAAAGCCTGATGATAAACTACCGAAAATACGTATTTGCTGGCTTATGTCGTGTTCTATAATTATCATTATGGGAATGAATAGGCAAATACTAAACGAGCCTTTTGTAACCGTGTTGAGATTTCGTTAGCAATCGGTCCATTAGGGTTGATGCAACTTTCCAAATAAATGAAGTGGTCAGCACACTTTACTACTGCATCCTCTATCTTTAAGCTAGGAGTCGGTGTAGTTCAGTCCTGCAGCATCACTTGATATTTGACAGGAGTGGATCGTATGCCAAACATTCGAAGGTTTCTGTTCAAGGTGTTCAGAAGATTCTGCATTTTATCAGTATCTTCACCATGGAGGACAGTATCATCTCAGTGAATATGACTGTTCACTGGTAACGGGTCAATCATCAAGTCGTTAAAGTCAATTGGGATCATATCCATCAGTATATTTATGATGAAATTAAACACAAGTGGGGGCCGTCAGCATCACTTCAAATCACAACTCTGTAAACTCTTACAATTGCATGAGTTTGGATGGAATACCTTGATTAGTGTGATACATGTTCTTGTCAGTCACTTCATTGCGACAGTACCTCTAGATCGACGAAGTCGAATATCTCCAACAAGTCACGAAATTTGACAACTGTTGGGCGCCGATAAGTGTGCCTGTTCAAGAGTTCGTTTAAGGGTGAAGATACGATTAATACACTCTTCCTCGTCTGAAACCCAACTGGTTTTCGCGGGTTTCTTTCTCCCGAGAACCACATAGTCTACGAATGATTATTGAATCTAGAATACTAAATACCATAGTAGTCCAGCTTATCCCCTATGACCGCTACAGGAAGACATTAAACTGAGATAAGCAATGAATTACACCAGTCTAACCGAACTATCTCTGATTCCCAGACATTACTTGATACTTTAGTTAATCTAGACAACAATTCGTCACCAAAGTTCTCCAAAACCTCTGGAGTCATTCTGCCCCATCCCATTGCTGCTTTGCATCGTTTCAGATTAAAAATTGCTTTTGTAACCTCGGCTGCAGATGGAGGACCACTGTCTACATCTCATTCAAGTAGGTGTTAGATGCTGCACAAGTTGAGTGTGGCTGTAGGCCAGTTAAATTGTTAATCAAAATGCAACCTCAAACGTTCCAGTCTTCTATCCTGAGTGGTGGATAAAGCGCCATTCTTCTCGGAAATTGCTTCGTTTTGTCTTTCATTTATCTTTTATAACCTAATTCCCTGTCCCATTTCTTTTGCTTTGTGATCCTCCACTGTTTATGGTCGTTGCATAGACTTTTGATCAACTTGCGTTTGGATGGGTTTCCCTCCTCGTCATGTTTCAGGCCCGCCGGAATCAGTTTCCTTGCATCTGTTAGTTAGGGTGAAGTGTCAGAAACCCACTGGTATTTACTAGTGTTTGGTCTTATGTTATGGCCTTTAACGCTGCTTCTACAGCTGGTTGGATATTACAAGAGGCTAACTAACTCTTTTTTCCTCATGCCATACATTTTTAACTTATAATGACTATTTCTCTGTCTACTTTTTATAAATGAACTAAATCGAAATGATAGCCCTCTATCAGAGACTGCATTTAGAGCAAGTTTATAAGGCATTCATTGAAGAATTAACCATATCGAATGATATCCAAATAAAGTTACATAAATTTTAAAGAATTTGAATAATACAGCAAAAGTGCCATCTGAACATAGAGTATCTCAAGGACTGTCACAAGTATTTCTTTTTCAATACTTACATCATTTGAAACTATAAGTTATGGGGACGAATTTTTGAGAGCCCACATACGTACACTTAGTAACTGGGATTTTATGACACTATCTAATTGTTTAGAGTTGAAGTAATCTAACAGATTAATTTCTCAGAAGTCAAAATCAATAAACAAAGCAATTACTAATACTACTACTACTACTACATAATAGAACGTTAGTACGGAATAGATAATTGACTTACACTTTTCGATGGACGAACATTTAATTCATAAGCTTCTTGCAGTCGATAACGCTGTTCATCAGTGAGTGAAGTTCGTATACGTCGATTCATTGAACCGAATCCTCCACTACTATTCAATGAATTATAACTATGATCAAGATGGTTTTGATTAGGCGGCCAATCAGTTTTATTACTCATCAATTCAATATCATTGTCACATTCATTTTGTTGACTAGATAAGCAAATATTCGATAAAGGCTGATGCATTTGTTCACAATCTCGTCCATTATTATATCCTTGCCAATTCCGAGACGATGATGATGACGATGACTCTGTAGATGATAACATCTGGTTATCGTTTATTTCGACATGTGTATTATTATTATTAATGAGAGTAGATGAATTCAGTTCTTGTTGTTGTTGTTGTTGGAAGTGTTGTTGTTTTGTGAGAAAATCTGAACGACATATCGGTCGACACGTGACTGGATCAATAATATATGCCTCACCAGCTGCTATAGGTTGTTGACATATACAACATGTAAAACAGGAGACATGGAAAATTAGTTCTTGACTTGAAGAGTTCAAAGCAATTTGATTAGATGAGTTTCTTGTTAGTGATATTGAGTGTTTTGCACGCATAAATAATTCATGGCTTCGCATTGGCTGCCGACAGTTCACACATTTAGTTGCATAAAGGCTGAACAGTTTTCAATAACAAAAATGAAAGACTGAGTTATTTCTAAACCTCAGATTAGTGGGATCAACAGAGAGATAAAAGCATAGCCAGCTACTACCTTCCACTTTAGTTGTACTTTAGTCTGAAAACACCGTGAAAAAGAAAGCCAACAATACTACCCGGCACTCAACATTTAACACAAACTGAAGTCAACCTGCATGCTAATTTATCATATAATCCCTCTTTTAATGCTCTTCTTATCTCTGATCGGTTTATTTCTACCCAACGACATAGCTGATTATACGTATATGTGACAATGTGAGGAGGTAGCAGTACTTAAACTGCTGTGAGCAGGTTTCCTTCGACTAAAACTTTTGCAGATAAGTCATTCGCGTGATGGAGGTTTTCCCCACGAAAATGAAAGGGTGAATACGAACAGTGATTTATCAAAATAAAATCTTATCCATAATGGAGTTATGCTCTAACACAGTGCCCAAGTTTTATACTTACATCAATGAATACGAACATTTGGCGCTTACAACCAGACTGGTGGACATCCACCTATGGGAGCTGGAAAACTCTGATTCCAAACCTATGGTGCATATGGACTCCAGAATGAGGACGTATCGAATGGCGTATGAACCTGTTTTGGTCACCGGAAACCATGGGAACGCAGCTCTTGACACTGCTCCACGGTCTTGTGGATCAGATTTCAGGTCAAAGGCTCGCGGTGGTTCTTCAAGACAGCTACCTGTTTCGGTCTGCGCATCTGAGTAGTATCGCAGCCCACACACAAAGTGAGCTAGTGTAGCACAAGTCTTGGTATCTATAAAGCACCAAGTTTGCTTCTTAGTGATAATAACAATAACTAAAACTTACTAGGTGATACGAAACACTGAAAGATCTAGAATATACATAGAAGTACATAAGTCAGATAAATACAAAAACTGTAGCCATACAATTTGGATTACAGGCTACACTTGATGTTTACAAGCTAACTATTCAGCTTATTTGCCTGAAGTGAAACAGATGGAGTGATAGCTTTAACTCTGAAACTTCTAATTCAAGGGCGAATGGTCAAACCGACTAGCAGTACTTTCAAGACAGCAGTTATTTTTACACATGCTTGTTAGACGAATCAAATTTATTTTTATGCTGCACTAGAAATTACGCTTTGATTGAAATGCCGACAGATATTCATGTTTGCAGAACCACTAAACACAGAAACCACTTCTAATGTGAACTAAAAAATATTTATCGTTAGACAGATATCAGTAGTAGATGTGTCACAGCTGTCATTTAAAAACAGAAACTTGATTTCCAGGATTTCAAATGGCACTGAAATACGATAGAATTTTCAAGTTTTCAGGTTTGACAACCACCAAATTTAAAAAGTACCACTGGAATTCGTCAACTAAGAAATATTTATCCGTGAACAGAGGGACGACGTCTAGGGAGACCATTTTTTTATTTGCGAGGTTGACATTTTTAATTGAATCCACGAACTCGAATGTGTCGCGGAGGTTGTATCTAGACAACTTTTCTTTCACTGGTCCAAGAATCTCTACCAGCCACTTCGCGATTAGGTGATATGGCGAATTGATCATATCTGATATTGGGCGGAGTGGGACGTCCTTCTTGTGCACTTTGGGTAGTCCATACATTCGTGGCGATGTAGAACCAGATGGGCGAAGTTTTTCATATAGTTCTGTATTGATAATCGATTCATCTTTCATTTTTTTTCAATAAGTTGGTTAGCTGGAGCTCCGTCTGTTCAGTTGGATCTTTTTGAGTCGTCTGTTTTTGAAATTTGCTGTCATCAGATAGAATTGATGAGAGTTTCTTCACATAGTCTGACTTGTTAAGCAGAACAATTCCAGAACCTTTGTCTGGTCGAGTTATTATCAGGTTTTCATTTGATTTCAATTCTTTGAGTTGCTTTCGATGTTCTTTTGAAAGCATATTGCGAAGTCTAGGTTTTTTGTTGATGTAGTCGAGGCAGCAATTCAAAACAGTTGATTTGAAGTGTTCTCCACTTTCATATGAAATTGGGACTAGATCATTCGTCTGACTAATCAAATTCTCGAATTGTACTTTGGTGTTCAATTCATTCACTTTTGATGATGCATCACAAAATTTTGGTCCGAGCGACAACAGTTGCATTTGAGTCGGTGAAAGTGAGACATCAGAAAAATTGAATACATATTTCTCGGGACAAGATGGGAAAGCTGTTTCCTTGGTGACTGATTTTAGGCTTTGTTTAAGTTTCATGATGATATTTTCCTTTCTCTTCTCTGAGACTGTATTGGCGTAGTGTTCGAATGACGCCCGTTCATCAACAGTTAAATCATAAAGAACGTGGGAGCTCATTGAGACGTTCTGTTCCAGTTCAGCTAATCTGGATCGAACGGCATCAAAGTGATTCTGGGTGTGTCTTCTGAGCGTGCGTGAATTGGGGGATATATGGTTTCGTCTCAGATTTTTCCAGAATGCTTTCGGGTATTCATGCTTATCCAGACAGCTTTTCCAGAAGGAAATCTTCGCATTCGCTTCAGCAAGCTTGACGGACAAACGTAGAAACTTGTTCAGTTCCTTTACCGTCGAACGGTCTTTGCTCGTTTTCAAATCACGGAATATACACATTTGATCTTTTTATTCCCTATGATCAAATGTGTATATTCCGTGATTTGAAAACGAGCAAAGACCGTTCGACGGTAAAGGAACTGAACAAGTTTCTACGTTTGTCCGTCAAGCTTGCTGAAGCGAATGCGAAGATTTCCTTCTGGAAAAGCTGTCTGGATAAGCATGAATACCCGAAAGCATTCTGGAAAAATCTGAGACGAAACCATATATCCCCCAATTCACGCACGCTCAGAAGACACACCCAGAATCACTTTGATGCCGTTCGATCCAGATTAGCTGAACTGGAACAGAACGTCTCAATGAGCTCCCACGTTCTTTATGATTTAACTGTTGATGAACGGGCGTCATTCGAACACTACGCCAATACAGTCTCAGAGAAGAGAAAGGAAAATATCATCATGAAACTTAAACAAAGCCTAAAATCAGTCACCAAGGAAACAGCTTTCCCATCTTGTCCCGAGAAATATGTATTCAATTTTTCTGATGTCTCACTTTCACCGACTCAAATGCAACTGTTGTCGCTCGGACCAAAATTTTGTGATGCATCATCAAAAGTGAATGAATTGAACACCAAAGTACAATTCGAGAATTTGATTAGTCAGACGAATGATCTAGTCCCAATTTCATATGAAAGTGGAGAACACTTCAAATCAACTGTTTTGAATTGCTGCCTCGACTACATCAACAAAAAACCTAGACTTCGCAATATGCTTTCAAAAGAACATCGAAAGCAACTCAAAGAATTGAAATCAAATGAAAACCTGATAATAACTCGACCAGACAAAGGTTCTGGAATTGTTCTGCTTAACAAGTCAGACTATGTGAAGAAACTCTCATCAATTCTATCTGATGACAGCAAATTTCAAAAACAGACGACTCAAAAAGATCCAACTGAACAGACGGAGCTCCAGCTAACCAACTTATTGAAAAAAAATGAAAGATGAATCGATTATCAATACAGAACTATATGAAAAACTTCGCCCATCTGGTTCTACATCGCCACGAATGTATGGACTACCCAAAGTGCAAAAGGAGGACGTCCCACTCCGCCCAATATCAGATATGATCAATTCGCCATATCACCTAATCGCGAAGTGGCTGGTAGAGATTCTTGGACCAGTGAAAGAAAAGTTGTCTAGATACAACCTCCGCGACACATTCGAGTTCGTGGATTCAATTAAAAATGTCAACCTCGCAAATAAAAAAAATGGTCTCCCTAGACGTCGTCTCTCTGTTCACAAATATTTATTCACTAAAAATGTAGATATGTTGGATTACAAACAAAGAAAAAACTTTTGTAAAGGTTCGACTCACCGATCATAGTCTCTGCGGCACAATAACTCATTTTTATTGACAATAAAGCATACCTCCACAAGTTCTGATGAACATACTGAGCAAACCGCACATGATTCATGCCAAGCCAAGCCATGAATACGGTAAAGATATTGGTCTGAAATGCTACGTCTGCATCCAGTGCATATAGGAAGTGAATCTTTGGACGTCAGATGTGAGGTTAATGGACTGTGTGTTACATCACGGGTAGATGAAACATTCACTGAATTGTAGGGAGTTCCTCGATAACCAACGCTTTCAGTAGCACAGTCTGAATTGTGATGTCTTAACTGACCAGAAAAGTAAGGATTCGGATCTGCTAATAAGTAACAGAAAGGAGTGTTTTGAAATAATAGAGATTTGTAGCTCAGGTGGATGATTTGCAATTAAAAGTGTTCTCTGGACTGGTTGGTTTAGTTGCGAAGCTTTCGTCGTCCTTCTAAACAATATCTTCAGTGCGATATTTAGCTTCGCAACTAAACCAACCAGCCCAGAGAACACTTTTAATTGCAGAAAGGAGTGTTGGTAATATGTAAGCTTTGGTCATAGTGGGATTACTTTCAAAATACTTGTGAAGAACAATTAATGCATAAAATCAAACCTGAAGTGAAGAAAGTACACACTACTAAAATATTGAGGCCACATCTCCAGAGCAGTCAGTTAAATGTGGTGATGTAATGGTTGAAGTACTTAGTCAACAAACTTCACATAACGGTCAGCCAGTTCATTTTTCATTGTCACTTGACATGCATATTTTACCCTTAACTGAGATAAAATTCAGAATGGAAAATCCACCTTGCTTATGAAAACTAGAAAAATTAATAAAGAAAACCATTCCACGTAAGCAGCTTAACGGATAGTTTGATAGATGTGAAAGACCTAAGGAGATTCCAAAAAAATGATATGCATGATGGAGACTCCTTTTGCTGAAACAGTAACAAAGTCAGTTGCTACACTCTCACTAATGAGCATTCCAAACACCAGAAAACCATAAGCGCATTTTCAGCTGATCACGACAACAAATACGCCAATGAACAAGATTACTATCTTTTTACTGCCGTTATGACAGCCACCAGAGCATATTGTTTATCTGTAATTTTTAATAACCGCTGACGACCAACGATTGTGACTCGACAGAACTATTTTTCAATTTTAAACCTGAACTAGTAAACAATCTATCCAAAAGTTTGGTGGGAACCCATTACTTTTTCCTTTTCATGGTCATTTTACGTTGCTTAGAGCCACTTTAACTGAAGTTTGAGGCTCAATTGAATTGTTCCACATAGACGTACGCAGTTGACCTATACCACAACGGAAATTCACTGTTGTGAACCGTCTTTGCTGCCAACTATTTAGTACAACTTCCTAAATTTGGTTTAGCCCTAGTGTTACTTAGCAATCATGTGTATATACACTAAATGAACTTATTTACCATGTAACTTTCACTGGTATTATTTGGCGATGTTTTAAACTACGGTTGACTGAATAGTGGTCGAGTACCTTGACAAAAGAACCAGAATATTTTCAACGGTTGCATCCTTTAAAAAAAAGTGTCAACCAGAGCGTTCATATACTGTGGCAGTAATGGTGAGCAAGAAGAGCCCCTAGTTCCTGACACAATGAAGTTCTTATTAGATGGGAAACATAAACAATTGCCACATAAACTCTAGTTGTCTTTCATAATGCTCCAAAGGGAAGGTGGTTAAAAAAAAAAACGAAAACAGTGAACTAATTACCCAAATTGTAGAGCGACTAGGACAAATTTTTCTATAAGTGATGCTAATTGACTGCAAAATTCTTCCCATAGGTTTATCAAACCTCCTCAGAACCAAACCAATCAGCACTAATGTGACTTATGACTTTTAAAACACATCACTAGTTTTAATGTCATTTGTGGAATTAGTTATTCCACATAGAAATGGGGGAAGGGAAATTTTACCAGTGAATTATTTATAACTTATCTAAACGCTGACTTTTATACCTATTTCTACTCTCAATAACAGTCCTTCAAGATGAATATTGGGAATGTTTAGTACGTCACAGTTCAGGAGAAGAAACCTTACAGAACTTGATTGAATTACCTGTCTTATGTAAGAACACTAGCCTGTACACTGCTCACGTCACTATCCTACATATTCAGGACAATGTTAAAAAGCAGTAATGGAGTAGTTTTTGCTTTACCTACAACTTTAGAGGTTCTGAATGTTTACCTTCAGTTTGTGTATCACATAGTTGCAACCAGAACAAATACCATATAAATAAACAATTGAAAGTCACTATTACTTTCGCAACAGTACAGTGCCATAATTAGCAACAATCGAGACACTGTGATAACTAATTTTAGTCTCTAGAAATGTAAGACTGAAGTGAATAGAAGAACATGTATTGTGATTTATTTATCGCAACTCTCACAAATGATTATATAATTTGCCATTTCTTCATGACTTTACAACCCACAACGTGTGCACAAAACGCTAGAGCTTTTAGCTTTTGTCAATCTCAATCACAAAGTGGGATACATATACATCGCAAGAACTTTTAAACAGAAAACACTGAGATTATACTCTCAGTCCTTAAATTAATGTTACTCTGCAAAACACCTGATTCGTTCGATAGAATCAGCATGAATGAGATGCCAATTGACCGTACAGTAATGTCTCACTAATATATAATAAAACTAATCCCAAAAGACATAAGGTATTTCATTTACTGTACTATAAACAGCGCAAAGTTAACTGAGGGAAATTGTAAATGACATTGGAAATGCGTTACTGCTGGTGAGGACACACAAATTACCACCAACAACAATGACATTAGTGCGTCTCAACTTGCAGAATGTGCATGCAACTCAGAAAGAGTTAGAACTATATAAATTCTAAGTAGTCGATGAGGGCTCAGAATTTTTTTTTATTTTTTATTTCGGTTACAACTTGATGCCACGCCGTATTTTCAGTACAAGTATGGTATTTTCAGCAAGGATATCGGTAGCCCATATTTTGCAGGCCGATCATAGATATTAGGTGTACGTCGGCAGAGGATCGAACGCCGGACCATGTGCATGTTCGGCGAGAGTCCTGACCACTGTGCCACCGACGCACATATACGTACACAGGCATTGTGAAAGGCATTAAACGTATCAGCAGCTAAACGTTACATAGGCCGAAATCAAGTTAAAATAACGCCATTACAAATTCGAGAAACTAATTATCCGACAAAATGTATGAGAAATTTTCAGACAAATTTCGTTATTTGCGCTGACCCTTCAATTATACTATAGACTCTGAACGACTAGGGACGAAATATGTGTATCTGTGGCAGAAAACAGAGAAATTGTTGGTATCTCGGATTTCAAGCTAATATCAACTCATGTCGATGAACGTACCACGATTTACAACTGCTGGGACGCCAAGAATGGACGACATTCTCAGATTTTGAAGTGACCCCGTCACCTTCATGCAGTAAAACAAACATATTTCGTTCAATCTCGCGTATGGCTTGCGTATTCAATCGAATAGATAAAATCGGTTACTAGACATTAAAACACAATTGTACAACGATCAGATTACTGTAAAAAGATCATAGGTATAGAATTCTCTATCTCCGTTATTAAAAAAATTTCAAAAAGTAATATATAGTAATAATTAGTAATAACGACGTCATCACTTAGTATTACTGTATATCACTGTGTCTTTTATCAAAATAAAATCTTATCCATGATGGAGTTATACTCTACCTCTGTGCCCAAGTTTTATACTTATGTCAAAGTAATAAAGGTTTCTCGGAGCTGCACCTCACAAACATAATGTGAGATAACGATGATCACATAAACGAAGTCGTCAGTTAAATGAAGATATTTTGTGTAGGTGTATATGTGCACAAAAACTTCTAACTTGAATCTAATGAATTTAATAAACTATTCCTTGAATCGAACATCACCTGCAACTCTCCAAAACTGTCACCAACAGCACGCGCGGAACTACCAGTGGACACCAATCTTCCAATGAAAGCAGAAATCCTAAGCACGATCAAGCTACTGAGGTTCTGAAAGGCAGCAGAACCAGATGTGATTTCCCCACGATTCATCGAAAATGGACCCATAGACTGCGGCATTACTGCAAAAGGTTTGGAAAAAATGAGAAGTACCTACCAATTGGAAGAAAGGCTACCTCGTCAAGCTGCCAATGGTGATCCAAACCTGAGCAAGAAATGGAGTGAAATAATGCTTTTCTCCACACCAAGTAAAATACTGAGTCGCATCGTCCCTAAGAGAATGAAGGATGCACTGGATACAGAACTTCACCAACCAAAAAGAATAAGTTGTATTCAGGAAAGGCAAATCATGTGATGATCAAATTGCAACTCTATTCATCGTCTTCGGACAATGCATAGAATGGCAATCAAATCTCTCTTTGCCTCAACTCCATTGACTTTAAAAAGACCTTCGGCACACAGCGTTGACCAACAGGTAATTCGGAAAATACTTGAACACTACGGCGCACAGTGCCAAAGTCTTTATCAACCTCATTCAACAGCCCACTATATGATAATGCTACGTGTCCGGTGATCCACAACGGAAAACTTAGTGAGGCGTTCAAAGTGAATACAGGAGAAAGACAAGGCTGACTGCCTAATATTGCCAATGACTTTCATAAATGTTGTGGATTGACTGGATTATGCGTCAGACTGTGCGTGAGAGTGAGAAGATAGGAATACGCTGGACCACCGATAAGAAGACTCTAGAAGATCTGGATGTCGCGCGTGGATGATTTATGTTTAGTGTCACACAAACTCGAAGACTTACAGGCGAAAACAAACAAACCGGCTGAAAAGGTAGGCAGTGAATACAGGACTCCAGGTGAACATAGAGAAGAAGACGAAGATGATGAAGATAACCAACAAACAGCATCAACACACAAGTCTTAATATGCCTGAGAAATTACTGATAGCATAATCAATGACAATATGTGTGGGAAACGATAATATACTTTTTCGTGCGGGGTCCCATCAACCCCCCGTAAAAGGTGTAGGACTGTCTTTTGAATCTGTTTAGAGAAGTTTTAATCTTTCGACCAAATATAATCCTTCCGGAGATAACTTATTTGAGGCGGAAGTATTGGCTGCCGTATGATAAGGCAGCGAAAATCTAAGATTTCTCTCAATTCTCCCTCCCCCTTCGCTTTCTTGCAAACACGCTTAGGGGTATTGACGAAGAGTTCACCTTGTCCATAGGATCGGGGATGGTTGTCGAGTCGGGCAGATGGAAAACTAGCTTATCGCTCGGCTACAAAGTCGAAGATGTTTGACTAAACTTGCAGCAACTAAACTTTTCCCAAGAGACTGCAGGATGCCTTCGATACGAGTGTTGCAGCGGAGATGTACCTGAAGCGTGTCTTGAAATGATATCATGTGGCGCAGGTGAAATGTTAAAGCACACCGAATTAGATGGAACATTTGAGAGATTGAGCTTTTCCAACCAGTCAAGGCCGAGCAAATTCAAATCATAATGACATGTGAGATAACATGCACGACTGAATTGACACACAGCAAACTGAATATGACAGCCGATCTCACCCATGAGCCTTACCTCATCCCTGGAAGCATTCCTAGCTATTTGCTCGTTCAGAAGCGTCTGTTGGCACCAAAGTATGCGCCACGTGTTGCGTGAAACTAGGGTGATATCTGATGCTGTATCCAAATGAAGACGAATAGGTTTACTGTTAATAGATGGGGCAAGGTACTTTCCTCTGCTGGCATAACCGAATTCGGGAACTGAAGAAATGGTCTGTAACTGAGGAGACGGTTTCGGCTTGAAAGGACTAGGTTTCTACCTCGCCAAATATTATTTCTGAGGGGGAAAGTAATCCTCTTCATGTCCCAAACGGTGACACTCGAGGCAGTTATCTTTCTTAAAGGGGACAAATTTGACAAATCAACATAAACCACGGTACCAGTAGATGTTGAGGTCTGATAATTCATCAGACAAAACTTCTCTGTAGTCGTGTGGTGAATAACCTTAGGACCCCTCATTATCGAAGCTGCTTCATCTTCCCAAAATAAATGTGGTGGTGGGATTGCAACTTTTATTCATTCACAGTGGTCACTTTCAAACGACGTATGATTAACTTTCTCTGGTGACTTATATACTTCAAAATAAAAATTTTATCTGAGCACTCTTATTCACTATTTAGTCTTAGCCACATGAACCTATAATAAAGCTACAACTTTCCCTGCCACTCCTATTCTTCACTCTCTTAACGTTTCGTTGCTTTGATGAAAAACGCGAAAAAACCAAAGTTTGAGCAAAGCTACAGTTTCATCGAAAACATTGTAGTTTCCGTGGTAAAACCAATATGGTTAGCATTAAACATTGCAAATCTATACTATCACTCCAAGGAGTCTGTGGCTCCTTCTCATATATCTTGTAAATGCACTTCCAATGACGTATTATCCATAACAGCATTTTTTACCAGTCTTCAGTTTCTCAGGACTTTCTCCTCCTCCCGAAATAGCTTTCAATCACGTGAGGGGCATAGCACTTATTCAAATATATGTTGTTTATTGGTTGACAAAAACTATCAGCAGAAAACGAAACGAAGCCTGGGTTGGCGCTCAATCTTGAGGGTTAACAATTTCACATTTATACGATCCCATTCTGATTGTCTGTACAACAACTCAACAGTTCAAACTTTTGAAGAAGTTCTAATTTATGGTGCTTAACGACCGTAATTTATAACAGACCTTATCGTGCCTGTATAATTGGCATGCATTTCATGTGAACATACGTGTGTATACAAATACAAATAATTATAATTAAAATTCTTATTATTGGTTGTTACTGTCAAACGTCCTTCCGAACACTGAAATTGAAATATTTTTGTTGCAAACATTTATGTTACCCTTAGCTATTCCCCCTTGGATTTATCTAATTTTAAGGACGAATTTACAGTCTTTGCTTCTGCTCTTCTTGAGAGCTCTGTGTCAATATTTACTGGGGACTTCAATTCCTGCTAATGTTCTTTCCTTGAGTCACTTAGTAATGTAAACACTGACAACTTTGCTGCTTGGTTTGACAAAACATTTAACTGAACGTTCACTATTGAAGTTGGGATATGCGAAGCACTCAAACTTGCCACACTTCTGAATTCTGATAGTAATAATAGTGTTTTCTCATTTTGTACATCAGAGACACCCGCTCATGGGCATCATCAATATGATAAATAATGTATACATGGCGCAAGCACTTTTATAATTTTTAATTACACAAGATATTCATAGGACAATGTAATGGAATGATACCCATTTTGTCACCTTACACCGGGGCAAGCGATGTACACATTATAATACAATGCAACTCCACTGAAGAGACCTAACCAAAGTGCACGTCGTATTTGCTGGTTGCGTTACCGGATTTAGGTATATCAGGCTATCCATAAAGTGACGAATTTGTTTTGTAGAATGTTGGTTTGTCCACCGATAGTATTGTTTTTAGCAATGTTAACTGCCATTGACTCACTGCATCTGTACGTGTCTAGTTAAACATAAAAAAAGCATTGTTACAGCTACCAGTAATTTTGAGTCCATGCGCAACTAGGCGCCAAAATGATGGCGAACTCATCCATGCAAAATGACAGTTGGAGCATGTAGAATACGGAAACCGTCATCATGCGAGTCAGTAAAATTTCAAATGCAACCATCAGGACATTTTCATTATTTCTTAAATAACCAGATTTATTGGAGCCTCAGCAGATGTGCTGAAAATTTATGCTGTCTTTCTACAAACATTTTAAATGCTTCTATTTCCAGTTATGTCGTACCCGTGGAATGGAAAGACACTGAAGTTACAGCATCACCTAAATCATCTACTGTTAAGAATGCATGATAATACATATTGCAATTACTTCTCCTTTCTTGAAATTAACGGATAAATCACTTTTACTCAAATTTGAAACGTTTTCATGGCCCTGAACAGTTTGCACATGATCAGGATAGAAGTGCTTTAGATGCTGCTGGTGTTTTATGTCACAAGACTGTTGCCTATCTAAACAAAGGAGCCAATCGTTTTCGACTTGCGACTATGTATCTAGATACCTTTTGTTAAGTAAGTTTTCCCTGACACAAACCGAACCATCGGCTGTTAACTGAATCCGTTCTCATTTTTCTCACAGGATGCCGCATACTGCATATAATGAGAGGTCTTCCCCTCCCTCGCTCACTGGAGCAAGAGTCCCTCAATGTGCTCTTCTCTCCCCTCTTCTGTTTTATTTCTACACGACTTACCTCTTTCGGATCAAGTCAACTTCATTAAATGCGCCAGTTTTCTAACTATATCTCTGTCAGGTACGTCCCCATCTGAATATACCAACCTAAGAGCTTTTCTTCGAACATCAGCCAGTGGTCTAAGCTAAATGATCTTACTTTAAAT